GCTCACCTTCTTATGTTGCTTTCACTTTTAAAAAACCTTTCAACATGCCAAAAGTAAAGTATGAGCAACAAATTTAGAAAAAGTGGTTGCATGATGACAAAATTAAAAACTGGGGATATGACCAAAGCTTATTGTAAGTGAATCATCAAAAGTTGAAGTATCAGTCGCAATGTTTTTAATTTGTCACTGCGCAATTCCAAACTGTGACCATTTGATCGATTTGTAAAAAATCTTGGACTAGTTCAATTTAAAAAGTGTGATGTAGAAAGTAAAGTTTAGGAACTGAAGGACCTTTTTAATCAGAATATCAGTTAACCAAAATAAAGTTAGCTGAATGGACAAACAAAACAGAAACTAAAGCGTTTTGGAGTGAAGTGAGACAATTTAAAGATGCCTCATCAAACAGTCCATTCTGTAAGCTCTTTAAAGTGCCATGTCTGCCATGATAATACCACACTCAAATGCTGACGTAGAAAGAGTTTTCAGTGCTAGGAATTTTATCAAATCTAACCTAAAAACAGGATGAAATTTGACCTCTTAAATGCTATCGTGCCATTGAAATTCGGCCTGATGAGACTAGAGAAATAAGCCTACTGTTCCACTTATAAAGAAATTTGAACAGCTAAAGCATACCAGGGTCATTTTGGATCTTAAGTTTCAACTTCATTATCCACGCTAAGTTAATCCTGTGGATCTTGTGAGGCAGACATCAGTAAAGATGAGGACATGATTATGTAGGGTAAGTCATTAACAAAAGCTATGTAATTTTTGACTTTTTCAATTTGGATGTTTTTTCTAGATCTTTTCCACGCAGATTTAGATCTTTGTAGATATTTTTTGACACCGTTTTGGATATTTTTTGTCAAGGAAAAGTGGCAACACTGCCCACGCCATTTCATTCTTCCACGAGTCCACTCGGTAACTGATGCATCACTATGGTATAATCATCCATTTCCTCACACACTCTAAGAGAGACATATTACAGATGGTCTGATTAACCATCGCTGGACCCCCTAATCTGATATGTATCTCTCAAATAGTCTAAATAACAATTTCTGGACCCACTAATCTGATATGCATCTCTCAAATAGTCTAAATAACAATTTCTGGACCCACTAATCTGATATGCATCTCTCAAATGGTCTAAATAACAATTTCTGGACCCACTAATCTGATATGCATCTCTCAAATGGTCTAAATAACAATTTCTGGACCCACTAATAGGAAATCGCATCTCTAAAATGGCCTAGTTAACTAACTGTCCGTGGATCCATTATGTGAAAGGCATATCTCAAATGGTATAACTGACCGTCTCTAAATGCACCATGGCAAAGGCATATCATATATTGTTTGATTAACCCTTTCTAAACCCACTCCGGTAGAGACATATCAAATAAGCCATTCTCTAACCCATTCTGGGACAGGCATATCTCAGATGATATAATTAAGCATCTTTGAACGCACTCTAATACGTGCATGTCTCAGATAATCTAATTAACTATTTCTGAACTCAGTCTGGGAGAGGACTATCACACATGTCCCCTTTGCTAACCCACTGTGACATACTTTAACTGGTACAGTCAATACTCCCGGAGCCCAGCCTTTGAGTAACTTACATGGCTTCTACGGCAACGACTGGCACACGACAAAATATCAAAATGCACTCACCTATAAACTGTTATGTCGGCTCTGTGGCTAAGTCGATGCGAAGGGTTCGATCCCAGCTGCAGGCCATGTGCCTTGCGTTGGTTTCGACAGTGGTATCAAGAAAGCCGGCCGTCCCGGAAGCAATGGCAAACTACGTAAATTTACCTAGGAAAACCACACAACAGCCAGGGGCTGTTGGGGTTGGTTCTGCAACGTCCTGTAAAGGATACGCAACTAACCTACGCAAAGGTTTACACAATATCACAATCCGGATCTTCTTCTGAAATCACCACGATTTAGTCAGATTGTAGTCTGTAGTCTCAGTTTCATGACAACACCGTTTGACTAGTTCTCAAGATGAAGCGATCAATTGTTGTTGTTGTTGTTGACAGAACTTCTCCGCATTCCTAGAAAGCCGCCAATCCCGTTTTGATTCATTTGGCCAATATATCATTTTTATAGTTTTAACCAACCCGCATAGGGGTCCTGGTGAATAACTATGAAATATAGGAGGGTGAAAAGCGGTGGAATAAATAAAAGAAACGAAGGCTCGAAAAAAGTAACAATAATGTAGTAATAATAATGTAGTAATAATAATGTAGTAATAATAATGTAGTAATAATAATGTAGTAATAATAATGTAGTAATAATAATGTAGTAATAATAATGTAGTAATAATAATGTAGTAATAATAATGCAAGGGTAATGGGAGTGGTGGTGGTGGAAATAACTGTAACAATAACGTCGATGATTATAGCAATAGTAGTAGAAATTAAAAAAAAAAACAACTATTGATTAATAAATAGTAACAATAACAGATTAAAGGAAAAACTGAAATGAAAACAAAAAATATTTGTATCACTTTTGTATATGATAGATCATTCGACAGTGAGGCAGTCAGCACACACGCAAGTCGTCTTGACTTCTGAGGACATTTCCTTGTATGTGTATTAGGCCAGGATAATCAGTGAATGTAAGGCTAGATTAACACAGAAGCCTCGAAGCCACTTTTAAAAAATCGGCTACTATGAGATTCGAACGCATGCCCGCTGAGTTGGCAGACAAGCACTTTATCCACTGCGATGCCCCGTCTGACAAAACTAGTTACTGTTTAGAGGTTATATTAACTGGCGTAGATACTTTTAATAATTTGGTATCAGACAAAACGTCGAAATCAAACGAAACCGAACTTAGAATCATCCTAGGAAATCAATAGTACTTCCGATTGTTTTTATATTACAAATGTTAGAAATTAAACAATTCACAAAATATCCACAAACAGAAATAGAATAAATTGTCTCTTCTGAGACTGTCGTTCCTCCCTTAATGTTGCATATATCCAAGACAGAAAAAACAGACTTTGTCCTTTAACGGGAATGAACTCTCTCAGTATTAGAACAGTTATGAACGCATCGACTAGTCCCACCACACGCACACGAAATATTATCGATTTATTCATTGCACGGACGGGATAACCCTTGACCCCTTGACACGGCGAGCATCGGGTCATTTCTCGAACATGTTGCATGCGGGCACAATGCGGTGTATTTTTAGTGCTGACGAACGGTGCACCACAGAAAGGAGAGAAGATGGTGGAGTCTCTTTGAGAGGACTGGGTTTTCTCCCTCCTAGCAGTACGCAGTAACTGATCCTTTTTGAAAGGCATTATGTGTCTCAGTACTACTGTAATAGACACTTTGTGATGAGTACCGGCACCTTCTGTAGACATTTTGTAGTAAATATAAAAACAAAACCCCGTAAAGGACTTTGCAGAACCAACCCCAATTTTTTGGCTCCCTTCCCCCTCTTTTTACCTCTGTTCTAAATTCAGTAGTTTGCAGTTTCTCACTGGGCTGCCGAAATTCGGCACTTTCGTACACATTTAGTATATTTCACCTTTGCCGTACTGTACTTTTGATAAAACGTCCGATTGAGAAATTTTACATCAGTATTTTAAATTTTGACATCGTGTGTGTTAAATCTAAATGAGCTGAAGTAAGTATATTGAAAACAAACATGATGGAATTGTTGAGTCAAATGTATCATTTGACGTGACTGGGCAAGTGCGCTTTTGTTTCACTTTCAAAGACCAATGAAGAAGTGTCGACCCAAACAACCGTTAAATGGTTCTCTTCAAGATCACCCACCCAGAGCTAAAAAAAACATAGACATTTTTTGTTTACAATTTCAGAGAAAAAAAAAAAAAAAAAAATGAAGAGATAAAAATCTCTTACCATTTGAATAAAAATTTATGTTTAGTCTTTTGGCATTTCCTCAGCATTCTGCAGCAGCGAAAAAAGTTTTCTCTTAGCTAAACGTTATTATATCAATAAAAATGTTTTAGCAGTGATGCAATGGACAACGAATTTGAGTTAATGAATGAGATTCAGCCTCACCAGGACGTCCACCAAGCGATAAACCCCTGAGACAAAGTGCCACCTCGAGATGAGGATCACCTAGGAAGAAGTGGCAGAAACCTCGTTTAACCGTTTGTTTGTTTGTTTTAGTATCCAGAAGCCATGAGTTGTTAACCCTTAGGCTCGGTATTATGGATATCGCAACCTTTCGGCCTTGATTCCATTGTAAATACCCTAAATCTGGGAGAAATGTGGCTTTCCTGCCTACCCCCGTGATTGAACCCGGACCACAAGAAGTTCGTCACCCTGTCTCCGCGCAATCCGGTTTAGCCAACTACGCTAAAGAGCCGGGCATATCCCGTTTAACCGTTAGGTTATATTAGTTTTTTGTTTTGACATCATTTTTATTACTTAAAGTACATTTGTTAAAGCCATGAAATAGATCATCGGTACAAGTCATGATTCTCGTCCCATCTCGCGGACTGCAGATGGGTGAAGCTTTTATTATTATTAGTAGTACATTTTACCCCACTAGGACATCACACAAGCGATAAACAACCCGATGACACAAAGTGCCACCATGTGGATGAGGATCACCGTGGAAGAGGTCCCAGAAACCGCGTTCAGCAATTCGACCATATTTATGGTCGGGCTATATTGTGGTTCATGGCAAGAGCCAGAGTAGGGCTGACTGACTGACTGACTTTCTACCCCACCAGGACATCACACAAGCGATAAACACCAGATGACACAAAGTGCCACCATGTGAATGAGGATCACCGTGGAGAGGCCCAGAAACCGCGTTCAGCCAATTGGCCACATTTATGGCCTGGCTAAATTGCGGCCCCTGGCAAGAGCCAGGTTGGGGCTTCAAATAACGAAAAATTTCATCTCAAGAAGGACGGTGAAATATTTTTTTTCTAGTCAGTAATGTTTTAATTTTAATAGTCAGGTCAGTAGAACAGCAACCGGCAGGCATGTCTCAGACGGGGACACTCATGCAGCCGCTGTCTCCAGGGTTTTGAGGTATGCAGCCTTTCTCTGTGCAATACGGGCCTTGCGCTGTTCATTGGACAGTTTCACCCGATTCCATCTCTTCTTCTCCACCTCCTTCTTGGCTGCAACCTTGGCTTCTGGGTCAGCTCTGATGGCAGCATGGGTCTTCTTGTACAGCTCCTCAACCTTGGATGGTGTGACGCCCTCCTTGATGGGAGAACTGTATATGCCCTCATCATTATCCTGAAGGTAGGTCATGTAGTCAGCCACGTGTTTGTCCAGGGTATGGTCACGATGCACTTCAGCGTTGTAGTTCTCTCTCTCGGCATCATAGCCAGGGAAACAACGAGTGCTGTGTGGGATGTCAATGGCACCATCAGCAGCTCCCTTTAGTGCTCCGAAGACACGAGCACCAGTTGTGGTACGCGCCAAACTGACGTCCAGGTAAGCTCGGAAGGCACCAGGAGCACCATCCACATCCTCCACAGTAAAGTGCTCACCACTGACCTCAACCTGCCCTTCATAAGTCTGGTCAAGCTTCACAGAGTCGGGCTTCTAATAACGAAAAATTGCATCCCATAAGTCTGTCTGACTGACTTTCTACCCCACCAGGACATCACACAAGCGATAAACACCCAATGACACAAAGTGCTACCATGTGGATGAGGATCACCGTGGAGAGGTCCCAGAAACCACGTTCAGACAATTGGCCATGTTAATGGCCTGTATATGTTCCGGCCCCTGGCAGAAGCCAGGGTTGGGCTTCAAATAACAAAAAATTACATCCTAAAAGGACGTAAGGAATTACTAATATAACAGAGACGACAGATATAATGACCAAGAATTTAAATCCTGATCAAATATAAGGTGAGACAGTTATGTGTGTGCGCGCGCGCGCGCACGCACGCACGCACGCACGCACACACGCACACACACACACACACATATATATATACTTATATATATATATATATATGTGTGTGTGTGTGTGTGTGTGTCTGTGTGTGTGTATGAGACGTTTTTATGAGTTTTTTGTGGGAGAAATATATGGAAATATGAGTTAGTTATGTCCCTTGGTGATATCGTCTGTGTATTACAACATTGATGTCCCATGAAGTTTCAAATTACAATAAAAGAAGTAAAAGTAAATTGGATGAGGAGATCTCAAGGTACGTGGCAGGCTGCAGACGGATGGTCTGGATAATTTCCACAAAGTATTGTGCATAGCCTGTATGACCTCTCAAGTGACTGTCTATCCAAGTGATAGGGTCAGAGAGACAGTCACGTAATTACGAGCAGTGGATTTGCGCGCGCGGGTAATGATTGCCTTTAGCAATCCATCACTGTCCCTTCTGGGAAATTTAATGGGCATATCCACTAGCATATCCACATAAAAAGAATAGCCATCCGAAAAGCAGCCACTGGAAATGCTAACAGAGACAATCTGACATCAGACATACAGTTTATCGTTGACGGAAGCAGTAGTTACAAACAGATCAGTTGTCGCACACGCGATCAATTTTAATCATAAAAGCACCATCAATTGTGTGGCAACAGCCACTTGTCATTTTTTAAACCTACAGTTCACAACACTACGCTGGTCCCAGTCTAAAAACATTCCATGTGAAATCCGCAGCTCACAGTGTCGCACCATGCGCCCAGCTCAGTAGCTATGCAACCTTTTGGTCTACAAATGGAGAAAAATGCAGCGGCCATCGTCTGTCAGAAGCCAAAATCTGTTACGACCAAAAACAGTGATCATCAGATGTTACAACATAAGTCTGCTTTATAGACAGTAATATAATCTTGTGGGATTATACACACTATACTGAAACCGGTCCTCTCACCTTTCAACACCTTCCAATCATTTACAATTCTTCGACAATAGACAGGTAGCTGGAGTTCAACCACATCAGTAGTCTCTAATCTCGGGGTGGAGGGTCCTCCCCCCATCCCTCAAAGAGGGTCGATGAGGTTTCAAGGGCGTGTCAAGCAGTTTTAAAATTGAGGGCATTCGAACTTGTCCTAATTCCGTTACTAACAGTTTTTTCAAGTTTAATTATAAAAAAAAAAATATTTAAAAAATATTAATAAAACAAAAACCAAGTTCTTTTTTGTGATGGTCATCCATAGTTTGTACATATACCGGTAAACATTTAATTAATATAATAACATATGCATTTAATTATAGATCAAGAACATTTTCTGACCAAAACGTATCTCCATACTTTCCGTTTCTCTTGTTGCGGAATCTATTGTCGTCCTCTTTTTATTCATATTCTTTGGTTTGTTTTGTTGGGGCTGGGGAAAAAAAGGAGGGGGGGGGGGGGATGGCGAGGTGGGGGTTTTGCCATTTGCTCAGTGGGGGCGTGAGGGTCTTAGCATATACTAAATGGGGGCGTGAGGGTCTAGCCATGTACTACTACACGATGGTTGTTGTGCCACTGAGCTACACGGGCGTGAGAATGCCTCTGTTAGCAATGGCGTATATATAGCTAAAATGTGGGGGCGCTGAGGGTCTTAGCACATAATAAATGGGGGCGTGAGGGTAATTGAGAATGAGTAAATCACTATGACAAGAAAATAGGGCGACAACATGAACGTGAGGGAGTAAATCTTAGCATATACAAGACACAAATAAAATGGGGGCCAATCAAGTGGGGGAAACAGAATAGAGCAAGATCTGACACAGAATAGCATATACAAAATGGGGCGTAAATCAAGGGAGTCAAGACAGCCATGAGTAAATCATGGGACACAAATGAACAGAATGAGTAAATCAAGGGCACAACTGACCCGAAAAAATCAAGACACAGAATGTTGGCCACTGAGCTACACGAACAAAGCAGCTCATAACAATGAAACTCGATGCCTGTAATTCGACTGTTAAAGCAATGGCGTAGCTAAGTGATAGCGAAAATGTGTAGCAGGAGGTGACAGCTGTCAGAATCCTAGGAAGAATGAGTAATTCAAGACAAAATGAACATAATGAGTAAATCAAGACAAAATGAACAGAATGAGTAAATCAAGACAAAATGAACAAATGAGTATGACGATGAACAGAATAAGTAATCAGAGACAAAATGAACAGAATGAGTAAATCAAGACAAAATGAACAGAATGAGTAAATCAAGACAAAATGAACAGAATGAGTAAATTAAGACAAAATGAAAAGAATGAGTAAATCAAGACAAAATGAACAGAATGAGCAAATCAAGACGAAATGAAAAGAGTGAGTAAATCAAGGCAAAATAAACAGAAAAAGTAAATCAAGACAAAATGAACAGAATGAGTAAATCAAGACAAAATGAACAGAATGAATAAATCAAGACAAAATGAACAGAATGAGTAAATCAAGACAAAATGAACAGAATGAGTAAATCAAGACAAAATGAACACAGTGAGTAAATCAAGACAAAATAAACAGAATGAGTAAATCAAGACAAAATGAACAGAATGAGTAAATCAAGACAAAATGAACAGAATGAGTAAATCAAGACAAAATGAACATCACGACACCCGGGTGTAACCCATAAGTGCTCCGTTCTTCTTCTAACTCAAGTCTGTCTGAAGAAGGTCAGCACAGTGCACAGTCTGTAGCACTGGCAAAGTCCTGGGAAGTAAAGGCTGCCAGGGTGATGTTAACCACATCACCCACCGAGTGATTGGTCTATGAAAGATGGGTCTATCATCATATACCCAATACGGATTAGGGCATGGAAAAGGGACCTTTACTTTTACAGAAGGAAACTACAGAGCTCGAGTACGCGAAAGAACAGTCAATAAACAAACGTGTCGATCGAAGTCTTTATCAACGAACAAACGAAACAGGAAAAATTATATAACTGCAGAAGAGAAATACGACTGTAACATAGAACAGTAAAATATAAGAAAAAAAAAAATACTTTACAGTTAAAACAATATTAAAAGTTTTAACAGGGACAAAACAGAGAATGAAGAAGTGGGGAGGGGAGGGGGCACCTCAGCAGCACAAATATTGCTGGGGGGGGGGGGGGAAGAACTCTCAAGTGAGCTAAGTCTTGTTTAAATGTACATTGATAGTAGGGTGGGTTTGAAAAGGGGACAGGGGGAGCGACTGCCTCTACTGGGTCTAATTTTAAGAATTATCTAAGTCTTTATTATTATTGTGGTTTTTTTTTTTTTTAAATCTACTCACTCTTCGTTACAAGAAGCAGGAGAGGGCCGAGTCTTGGGGTTGTTAACCCGGGCCGCCCCGATCCTGGAAAGTGTTTACGGGGTTATGGGCTGAAGCATTTGTCAATGGGAAAAGGTGGGTGGAGGTCAGGGGTTCTACTGGTGATTGGTAGACTCCTGTCGTACATTCGCCCACCGTGGAGTACTTTTTTCTTCATTCTGTCATGACACCTTTTCATACAGTCGCTCTCCCTCTACTCTGAAACTTGGCGACGCCTCTGTATCACACCCAGACATCCGCGGTGAAAGAGAAGATTACAATAAAGAGAGGTTATTCTGTCGTGGATCGTCAGTCTCAGGCTGCAGGACGTTCAACTTGTATCATGCAGGTAGGTTTCAGAGTTGTAATTATGATTCTTTTCTATTTATTTCCTTTTTGCTTTTATAATGTCAAATATAACCTTGTAATATGATTTATAGCTAGGCTGCGATATCTGCGCATTAGGTATGCATGTTAGGAGGCATTGGATCCCCCCCCCCTTCCCCCACCGGGGGGTCCCTAGCCCCTGTTGCTTCAATACGCCATGGGCCCGTTTTTGTGCCTTCACAGCCTTCACAGCAGTTACGTTAGGAGACAAATGATGACTACCAAAAAAGTAGAAGCTTCCAAAGAGGCAACGGAATCCAAGACATTAGACACCAATATACTATACCCCCTTAACCCCCCCCCCTTACCCCTATCCCCGGTAAACTCTTTTCTTATGAATCTTTAACATAAAGCAATCTATTCTTGACCTTTTTCTTTTATTTTGCCATACAATAAAAAGAAATCTGGCAACAGGAAATATTCTGGTCATCTCACGAGAATGCTCTGCTTCTAGCAACCACAGAGAGCCATGGTAAAGAAATATAGTCAGCACATTTGAAGAGGAAGATTACGCAAAACGTGGAATGACAGCATTAAAAGTGAGCCGCCGCGATGTAGCGGCTAGACGCTGGCCTGCTGGCCCGGAGCTCGTGGGTTGGATTTTTGACACAGCCTTATTTTAAAACAGCGACTGACCCTGGCTACCAGGTCAGACAGAGATGGGTAGCAGGTAAAGTCCTGGGAAGTAATGGCGGCCGACGTGATGTTGACCAAATTAAACAGGAGTACCGATTGATCTATAAAATATGAATGTGAAGAAGAAAACAAGAAGAAGAAGAAGAAGAAGAAGGAGAAGAAGAAGAAGAAGAAGAAGAAGAAGAAGAAGAAGAAGAAGAAGAAGAAGAAGAAGAAGAAGAAGAAGAAGAAGAAGAAGAAGAAGAAGAAGAAGATGAAGAAGAAGAAGAAGAAGAAAAGAAGAAGAAGAAGAAGAAGAAGAAGAAGATGAAGAAGAAAGAAGAAGAAGAAGAAGAAGAAGAAGAAGAAGAAGAAGAAGAAGAAGAAGAAGAAGAAGAAGAAGAAGAAGAAGAAGAAGAAGAAGAAGAAGAAGAAGAAGAAGAAGAAGAAGAAGAAGAACAAAAAGAAAGAAGAAGTTTTAAAAGTCTACAGTGATTTTACCTTTTTCATAATTTTTTTGTTTTTTGTTGTTTCATTTGATGAAAATGAATAATATAAAATGGGTGAATTCACAAGAGGTGAAGAAATAAGAGGAATGCCTGAACAACCACTAGTTTCAACAGTTACAAGACAGAGAAAATGACGCTATATTGGACACATCATGAGAAGAGAATCGCCAAACAGGCTCTGGAACGGGAAAATAATGACTGGGAATACAAGGATGCTGAACTGGACGCCTTCCATAATATCTAACTAATGCCCAGGATTCAGCGGAATGTAGCAATAGACTTACAAGCCCTGTACCTGACATATTGGCACAACATGAAAATGAATGAATACTTATTTATTGCAGACTTCACTGAGATCTTCGACTGAAATTATGTCTGGTGTCAACGACATAACATCAGTGAAGGAAACTGTCAAAAATCTGTGCAGACTGTACGGTAGCAAATCTACCATACATGCCGTCGTACGAACAACGTTCAGGAGTCGTGCCAGACGGTTCGTTTGGATGGTTTTGGTTCTGAGCGCGTTCTCCTGGGGCATGTATCAGGTCATAGTGACGCTACAGAAGTTCTATAAGTATCCGGTGACGTCTGCAATAGCTATGAAACACCCATCGAACATGCCATTTCCTGCGGTCACTATCTGTAATCTGAACAGGCTGAGGAAATCCTTTTTGCCTCCTGCGGTTTTACAGGACTTGTATAGGAATTATACCACAGTGAGTTGTATTTGTTGTTGTTAGTATTGTCGTTAGTGTGGTTGTATCAACTCTGTTTGTTCTAGTTGTTTATTCTTATGCTACTTCCATCGACGATGAACTACAATTCTGGTGGTGGACTGATGGTTTTGGCACGTGTCCTTCTTTCGCCTTCTCTCTTAAAATGGTGCCTGGCACATTGCTAGGTTTCGATACTTAGACCTTTCGTCCGAACAACATTATTGCACCTGCAAGATAGTTTGAGTAACAATTCTGAGATCATGCATCTTTCCACAGACTCTTTCACAGACTCTTAATTATCCATTAAAGAAAAAAGAAAAAAAAAATGGAATCAGTTCTTGATTCATTCATTTATTCATAGAAAAGAATAAAGTTTTTGAAATGAAAAGCTACAGAAAAAAAAAAAAAAAAAAGCAAACATCTTATAATTCCATGGACCAAAAAATAAAAATACTGACTCGATTTTGAGCATTGAGGGAAATTGCCTCATAAACAGCATCGCTTCAAGAAAGTTGAGCCATTTTGGCCATTGTAAGCGCTACGGTGGCCTCGAGCGAACGGCCAGAAAGGAATTGTTTTCAAAAAGCGAGGGAGCGACAGACCTCCAAAAATGTGGATATAAGATGTTGAAAATGCATTGGCTGAGAAAGGACATAGGGCTGAAGAACTGACTAGAGACTCTTGGGCGTGTCGTGACAAGAGCAACGTTCTTTAAAGACTAGCTGACTGACAATGATTCGTCCTAACATATCCGATCTTATCAAACCTTCAGTCAGTAACGTTTTAACGACATGCTTTCTCTCTCTCTCTCTCTCTCTCTCTCTCTCTCTCTCTCTCTCTCTCTCTCTCTCTCTCTCTCTCTCTCTCTCTCTCTCTCTCTCTCCGTAAAATGAAGTCCCTTAACCCACACGCGGATGAAAGACTTATGTATTTAATGCGCTTGCAAGCTGCATGTTTGTCGGTGCTGCTGTCTGTTAACAAGCGGGTCTTGCTAGCCACACTGCCCATCGACATGGGCTGTGATTTCCACGCGTTCTATAATTTCACACTTTTGCCCAGAAAGGAGGAGAGGTACCAGCTAGCCGAAAAACTAGATGTCTGTTCTATGTTCAGATAGGTCAATGTTAGTGATTTCTGTGGTTTGTGGATGGCGCGAAAACAAAAAACGGGAGGAGATTACCCCATTTCCGTGAAGTTGGACCTTGACTTTTTTTTTTCAGTATCCAGAAATCATCAGTTGTACACCCTTTGGCTCGGCACTATGGATATCGCAACCCTTCAGCCTTGATTCCATGATAGGTACCGTAAATCTGTTAGACATGTGGTTTTTCTTTTTTCCAGAAATCATCAGTTGTAAACCGGGTGGATATCGAACCCTGACCATAAGGAATTAAATCTGAATGTGGCAACTGACTTTCGATACTGAAAGCGAATTCTGGGAACAGTTGCTAATTTGTTTGCACGCAGATATACAAACAGCAGTCATTACGACCATGCGCGAGAAATCTATAATGAGGGGTGCAATGTTTGTGTTAAGAACGATTACTATCACCGTAAGAGTTTTGATATGGAAGTGTGCGTTGCAAGGCTTGGGTACTGACTATCTGTTTAGAAACACGAACACACAAATGAATACTGACTGATTGAAATGCGAACCTCACCGGATGGGTTCTGGGGCCACATTGAGGGAAGGGAAAATAGACCCACTGCCATCTAACAAGCAGGTCGTAAAAGGCGACTACTTAAGACAATTTCCTCCGATGTCTGATTGTTTTTACGTGAGAGACGGTAAACAAACAGTCTGCATACAAATAAGCCAGCTCTCTAAAACGGATGTGCACGCAAAACTCAAGTATTGAAACAAGACAAAAGTCTGAGAATGGGGTGAAGACTAGAACTTTCAGCTGGAGTTTACAGCCGGTAAACGACAAAAAGAAGTTAAGATAACTGCATGGACTAATGCCGTGCTATTTCAATTTATCTATCGGTGAATCATAAGGACGAGACGCCGATTAGAAATGACCGGGCGGAGAATTTCTACTTGGACAATGTCGACTTGGAACACCGCCGGAATGCTTGGCCGAATATCACCACCATGTTGAAATACTGTACTTTCAATGAGGTTTGGCCTGTTTGTCTATCTACCTACGTACCTACATATCTATCTATATCTATCTATCTATCTATCTATCTATCTATCTATCTATCTATCTATCTATCTATCTATCTATCTATCTATCTATCTATCTATCTATCTATCTATCTATCTATCTATCTATCTATCTATCTATCTATCTATCTATCTATCTATCTATCTATCTATCTATCTATCTATCTATCTATCTATCTATCTATCTATCTATCTATCTATCTATCTATCTATCTATCTATCTATCTATCTATCTATCTATCTATCTATCTATCTATCTATCTACATCTATCTATCTATCTATCTATCTATCTATCTATCTATCTATCTATCTATCTATCTATCTATCTATCTATCTATCTATCTATCTATCTATCTATCTATCTATCTATCTATCTATCTATCTAACTATCTATCTATCTATCTATCTATCTATCTATCTATCTATCTATCTATCTATCTATCTATCTATCTATCTATCTATCTATCTATCTATCTATCTATCTATCTATCTATCTATCTATCTATCTATCTATCTATCTATCTATCTATCTATCTATCTATCTGTCTATCTGTCTATCTGTCTATCTATCTATCTATCTATCTATCTATCTATCTATCTATCTATCTATCTATCTATCTATCTATCTATCTATCTATCTATCTATCTATCTATCTATCTATCTATCTATCTATCTATCTATCTATCTATCTATCTATCTATCTATCTATCTATCTATCTATCTATCTATCTATCTATCTATCTATCTATCTATCTATCTATCTATCTATCTATCTATCTATCTATCTATCTATCTATCTATCTATCTATCTATCTATCTATCTATCTATCTAATCTATCTATCTATCTATCTATCTATCTATCTATCTATCTATCTATCTATCTATCTATCTATCTATCTATCTATCTATCTATCTATCTA